ATATTTATATATATAAATGTATGTACGTGTGTGTATGCGTGTATGTGTGTATGTATATACGTGTATGCATGTGTATATTTGTATGTCTGTGTGTTGTGTATATATGCTTGAAAACTATATCAACGTACGTATTTATGTATTCTATCTCATGAACATTAATCTTGCTGTGACGTACGACATCATCCAGTAGCGAAATATGTTTGTGACAAAGTAGACCAATACGCGTATACTTGTGTGTGAGGTGCTCCCCCGCCTAACCCGGTCAAAAAGCGATAAGACATAAACATTTCCCACAGTACTTACAAGATTCCAATCATTGGACTATCATTTAAATTCTCTTTTTGTGAAGTGGTCGGAGTAGACAACATAATTGGTGATGCGTGGACGGCAGTGGCTGCCAACAGCAGCGAAGCTGTAGCAATTGCTTTAGATACCCGCATACTTGTGAAGTTTCCAACTGGCAATCGAAGTTAACTGTTTCATATCTCAGGAGAGCTTTTTATTTGTGTACATATTGAAATATTATTTTCTTTTGCTATGCGGAAAGGTGAATGGGAAACTTTAACAAATGTTCGGTACAACCCTTATCGTTTTGATCAATGACAAAATCCTGAATATTTCTTAACCTTTACCTTCATCGTGTGACATCATGTGTAAATATCATGGCCGGCGGCCAATCTCCGTGCATTGACCAACGGCTACAATGCCTCCACCAGCGACTGGAGATGATACAGGCAGTATTTTAAGTCCAAGATGTTTTAGGATGGTTTTGTGGCAAAGTTAGCATTAGAAGCGAAACGCCCCACCGAAAACTGATCCGTGTCCAAAAAGTTAAAGAACAGGTGTGGGACAGGTCCGATACACACCGACTATATGAGCGCTTGATATATCTGTAGCGTTCGTTTGTACAATCTCCGATGTGTGATTTTCATCCGTCTGTCTTGATTTTCATCCGATGAACTCAAAAAATGGACAGAATCATCCGAACCAACGAGTGTTGCACAACCGAAACTAGAGTTTGGTAAACATCGTTTGCAACATCGTCGCTCTCCTCGCAAATCTCGTATTCACTATATGAATTTATAAATTCACAGAGACTGAGCAAGATATGAAACTGCTGCATATCACTTGTCATTGCCGATTTTGTGAATTGGGCAATATGCATGTAGTCGCCGTGATCCGCTGCGCTGTGTTGTCTTCAGTCGTTCCCAACGGTAAATTGTACGTAGGGATCTGATAATATCACATGCTATCATATTGTTCATGAAAAGACTGTGCTTCAAGTGGTCTCCTATGCGACGGTTGAAGTCGAACATCTTGGTCTGTCTTCTGATCAGGTGCCATATCATTGAGAGATTACTCACTGCTTTTAGTGTTTCCATCGTGATATAGAATTTTGGTAATTTCCCTTAAGGATGGTTGAGATTTGCGTAGTGGCTGACAACTTTGACCAACCACGACGTTTATGTAACAATCACTAAGAGCTCGCAAAGGGCGACCAAGATCGCTTTTCGAATTATGCTAATGAGCGGTACTGCTACTTTCATTCTGCTTATCAGATTTGAGCGACGCAGTAGATTCTGTAGACGATTTGCAGTGCTTTTATCTTAAGTATAGATGGAACTCCAATCTTGCCGTATGCCCTACACCCACAACGTCATATCTCGCCAGACCACCTTAGGTAAGAAAAGTTTTACTCTTGTCTGTTTTAGATAGACATCGTCAACAGACGAAATCACTAGAAAAGTTTGATTTCCCCAGGGGTTTGCATAACAGCTAAGTGCGCTAACTCTGTCGTATGATGGGATGGGGCAGACGAACGGAAAATGCATTGTGATTCCGTATTTTGCAGTATTTATTCAGTTACCCACAATCTATACTTCTAAAGTAGAAAGCTTTCACCCGGGAAGGACGTACACACAGAATGATGACCCCTAATGGATCTTCTCCTGTATATCCTGACAATTGCTTTGAGTTTTACTCGTGCTCAGCTACTTCTAAGAGAATTTAAACGACTTGATCGTCATAGAACTCGATATTCATTGGTGTGATCTTGTCCTGCCGTCGACAGCACTTACGTTAGGCGAATAGATCCTTCATTCGTGTTCGACACTATCTGTCACCGATTTGAGCTATCATCCAGCTGAATTCGACCAACAAGGATAACTTGAAGCTGTGTAGCCTAAAGCCCTTGTAATTATAAGGAAGCTTAGGTCATTATTGCTATTGCGTGAACTCCTAAAGGCATAGAGATTCACAAAAGGTAGCGACATTGGCAGACAATATCACTGCCGCTATCACCCCTTTTATATTCACTAATTTAGCACATCTGTTTTAGCATAACCACCACCTCTATGCTGATTTTATACTGGCTTTCAGCTGCGTCCCGATGCCCTCCAAATAATGTCTCATCTTTCGTCGTTGAGAACTCGTCCACCGGTTAATATCTTTCAATCCATATTCTGAGAGACAAATGCTGAAGGAATTTACATAATTGAAGTTCACTGTCGAACTCACCCAACTCGTTACTCTATCCCAGGGTGCCATTCTATTGTTTGCTTGCTTAATCACCGTTCGAACACCGTCAGTCTGATACTCTACACTTCCATTTTCCGCGTACTTACCAACAGTACTTTATCCCCATTTGGAGATTAGCAATACTATCGGCGTTTGATAGCATATACTGTATTAACTACAGGCCATATCCTAAGTCGTCCAGCTCATCTTCCATGTCATCAAATGAGTACGGATCCACATCCCCCCCATCGCCATCGCTATCACTATCATACACATTCCTGCCCGTGCGGCCGCTTCTCCCAGACCATTGCCCATAAGCTTTATTGCCACTGGCATCATTGCCTGAATCGTCATCACTAGTAAGATCCAATGCATCATCATACCCTGTCTCATCCTCGTCTTCATCTTCGGGGTAATCATTGCCTGCGTAATCTTCGGCGTTAGAATCCTCGCCTATCGAATGAAAAAAGTTGACAAGGAAGCAACCGATGATGAAGATCAGTTAAAATACACCTGCATGGCCGAGAAGAAGCTTGAGTGGAGGTTCTTTGGCAGCGACTCAGTCACCATCATGGTTGCAGCTTCCGCTGGTAGCAAAAAATATTCTTAGTTTAATACACGGACAGTCTGGAAAGACACACATATACAAACTAACATTTACTATATATATATATATATATATATATATACATACACACACACATATATATATATATATATATATATATACTAATACTATACATACACTACACGCACACACACATATATATATATATATACANATATAGTTATATATAATAACTATATTATATATTAGTATA